TCCACTAAACCTAATGAGTATTTCCATGTTTCTGTAAATAGAACTAATTAATAGCCAATCATTTAACTTGGTAAATGCAACATTAGATTTGAATATGGGTCAGCAGCAGTAAAGACAGTCTCACCTTACTCAACATACACCACCTAAATATAAACACAGTTATTTGAACAGGCAATATGAGATGTAAAATGGCCCGCAGCAATAAGGCTACAACCCTGTAATGTCACAGTCTAACTTACATATGACATCCCTCACATACTTAAAAAGAATTTGTTACTGTAATACAGCACAGCCATCTTGACAGATACCTGCAGTAGTCTATAAATCTATTACACTATAGTAAATATAAACAAAATTTATTTACTAAAATCAAGTTAACAAATTTGCAGACTTTAAGAAATGTCAGACCTGTTAATTGTTATGCTCGTCTATAAGCATTTGTAGAAAGATTCACCGATTTGTAATGCCAAGTATTATAAATTCATTTTTCAATCATGTCTTTTGGCTTGTGCAGCAGTATCAGAATCATGTTACCTAAGATTTCAATAAGCTTATTTCCCAGTTAAATATATACTTGTTATTTCAGAGTTACTGACAAGATGCACGTCCCCAAATTAACACCTCGATATCCCACTGTGCATGCATCTCATCTCTGCTTCCATAAGCAAACAAAAATTGCTTAGAAACATAGGAGATATTGCCATGCACAGTATTTGAATAATGCCTATGTGTGCTTTCCAGAATATTACCTCATTCATATACTGCTGAAAACTTGCAGAAACTTAATTGTCCTGTTCCCAGAGGCCATATCCCTAGGAGAGTATTAGCTTCAGCCATTATTAAAATGGATTCTAAATATATGCTTCTATATGATAACAGCATATACAGAATGTTTTCTGGTTGGTTTGGACGAGAAGGGAGTAGGAGAAGTTGGAGCTAGCTACACAAGCCTAACTTGAAAAAGTCACACATATACAGTCTTTAATTACTTCTTTATGGTTTCATAACTTAACTTACAAAGAATTTAAATAAGACAAGATTTTCCTCAGTCTTAGAATTGAGCATTGCCATAAACTGATTTAGTAAAGTATGTAAACAAACAGATACTAAAGAGACAAAATTAACCTCTTATAACAAGGGAGCCGGCTCTACTTATCAGAAGGTAAGCAGATACTCAAATACCAAATATGTAATACGGCCAGAAATGCGCAAAACCCCTCTACATTTTACTTTGAACCAAGACTTGGCACCACAATCTCAAGACTGTCCTTCACTCCTCCTCCCGCCCAGCCTCATTTATTAGCTTTGCTCTTGCTGCATAAGGCTGCTCTAATAACAGATACCAATGGCTAAGCTACATCTGTGGCAGATGGAAAAAAAATGTTTTTTTCTGTATTGCCTCTTAAAACTTCGTACTAATAGGCATGACCCGCTCCTCTGACCTATCACCTTAAATGCTACTACAAAAGAAGGAAAGGCGACAGCTTCAGGGAGCTGGCTCCAGCAACATTCATATACCTGCTTTCAGGCCAGTGCTTTGCCACAACAGAGTCATGCCAACCTGCCCAGCTCCTCAACAACATCCTTCTTCTGTGCCCACTTTTCTTTTCCTCATCATACCCTTTCGAAATGAGCTAGCACCTCCAACCATAGACATTTTGCTACAGAAAACTTTTATCAGATGCTTTTCCTCTGCTTTCACATCAAATATAATTACAAGCAGATGAGAGGAAAAGCTAAACAACAGACCCAAATAAGTATTCTCAGGTTTTTGCAAATACTAAAGTAGCCCATTGATTTGAAAAGCTCCATCTTTTCATTTCTATGTTTTATATGACACTTAAAAATTACCATACTCAATTTCTTGAAGTAAGTCTTTGAATCTAAAAAAATTCTGTATTTAATATCAAAACTACGATCTTATTAACGCTCCAACTATCCCACACAACACCTTCTACATACACATACAGAGTCATTACTCAGAAGTGCAGCATTAAAATAATCTCTTTCCTTAAACACTAGAACTAATCCAGAACTGGATTCTGCTGGTACACACACACACACACACAAAAATAAAAAAAAAAAAAAAAAGAAAAATCAGTGTAAGGTCAAAGAAATATGCCTGTCCATGAAGTTAATTATATAAAAGATGACCATCCTCCACTATGCTTCAGTTTTTAACTTGTGAATTTGAGGAAATGGTGAAGGAAGGCAGGAAGATAACAGAATTACACTACATTCAGTGCACTGTGTGGTAGTTACCTCCTCACAAGATTTCGCATGAGGGATATCTCAACAGTGCCAAGCCCTGACCTATGCTAATCAAGTTTCTGAGGCTTTGCCTCGTGCATCCCACTCAATCTGTCACCTCTGAGGTTAGAGAATGAAACCTCAAGAGTGAGAAGGTGAGCACTCGGAGGTAGTCCTACTTTAAAGAAGGAAAAAAATTTTAAGGCAGTTAAAAACTACCATTAATTATCTGCCCCATGCCTTTGCCAGAGGTAAGTAAATCAGCATCAGACCACTGCACAATAGCATACAAGACTGCAAATCCACTGGAACTGGATTTGCCCCCAAATGGATTGAAATGGGGCAACTAAACCAAGGTGTCTTTAACTGCCTTTGTGCAGGCTGCCACACTGAACAGTGTGGCTGGGCTGATGCTTGCAAACAGGCAGCGCAGACAGTCCCTCATTGCTTAATAACATGGTGCTATGTTCATGATTGCCAAAGAAATAAAATCTAAATACTCAGAGAGTTTTATCTTTATATAATCAGGTTATCCTTGAACTTGCAAGCAGAAATACAAATCCCAGTGAAGCACAAAATCCCTGTGAGAATAACTTGTATTTAGTTGGGTAATGCCTGCAAGCCTCAATCACCTCTGAAGACACTGAATTCAGACTGAAAAGTTTTATAGTCTGCTCTTAGGAGGAGAAAGAAGAAAATCCAGGAGGAGGGGGAAGGAGGAGGAGCGTTAACTGTACACTATTGGGTAGAAACACACGCTCTTTAGCTGTCAATTACTCTCAACTTACCTAGACTTTAAATACTAAATTTAAGACTGCTCTGTGACTTCTACCTCATTCTAAAACACACAGAAGACCATATTCTTGCAACCTGCTAGCATGGGAAAAAGGGATATTAAATTTTATTAATCTTCCATTCAAACTGGAAACATAGTAGCAAAAAAAAGATGATTCTGAACATGAACAGAACAACAAAAAACCCCCAATAGTTTGCTCAGTTAAACTGGCAGCCAGTCACCCAGTAGAATTGAACAAACTAACAAAGTCTGATCAAGATTAGATCAGGCTCGATATGACAGATTTCATTGTTGAAGTATAAAACTTGAAATCAGAAGCAAAAAAAGGCCACCATGTCTGGCAGAGGACATGCTGGTTTTCTTTCCTCTTTTTCTTTTTTTTTTTAAATAGGCCGAACCTACCCAACATTCTAGGGTAGAAAAGATACATATTTTACTATTTTCTAATAAATTATTTTTACATTAAGTTAAATTAATAACACTAATCCTTTCTGCAAAATGAATGCCTTTATGTTTCGACTGTTACGTATCCTTATGAGGTCAAATAAAACAGACCCAAAAGAGTTGAGCTCTGGGAAAAGATTCAATTAAATTACTGTGATTCCTTGGAGATAAAAGCAAATTTAGGTACTTAAAGTTGATCAAGTGCAAGATTGCATTTTCATGGAAAGAACATGATAAATTCAACAGACATCCTCATAGATTTAAAAAACAAACCAAAAGCCACAAAGCTGTGTGAAAGTCTACCCATACCAGACATTGCCAAAAAGCCCACACAGATGCTGTATGAGAGAACTGGGCAGATTTACATCATACATAAGAACTCCCCATGTACTCCCTTCCCACTTTCACCTGAACATTGCTCAGATTCAGGAAGCATCCTTTTGTCTCTGCTACCAGTGGGTTCTCTTATTTCCTTGACATCTCTACAGAGAATGATTCATGCTTGTCTAATGTTTAACTGGAGGACTGTGTTGGTAGAAAACAAGCCCCTCTCTTCCAAGATTGTTACAAACAATCCTTGACCAGTTGTCAGTGGATGCTATTGAAGTCTCTCCTAAATTGTGTTCGCTCACTTTGACAGTCCTCTTGCCAAAACAAAAAGTACATATGCACACCAAACCCAAGCTTAAACACAGCAGACCAAAGCAAACATTCTAAGAAACCTATGGCATACAAACTGCCACTTTCCTCAACACACTGACCCAGCTTACAGCCTATTAATGAGTTTTCTAAACTGAAGTGGCACTGCCACCTTAAGACATAAGGCCAGCATTACAATTTTCACTATACTAGACTAGTAAAAAAAAAAAAAAAAATATTAAACTTCACTTTCTGAATTTTTTAAAAAAAATATATTCAAGTAAGAAAAATTCAAAAATAAAACTGTGCAAGAAATGCACTGCTTTAAGTCTCTTTATCATGTTAATACTATTTTTCTCAAATAGCAATTTAGCTAAAACTGTGCAAGAAATGCACTGCTTTAAGTCTCTTCTCAAATAGCAATTTAGCTACGCAATTTAGCTTAGGTTGAGCATTTTAACATTCAGTAAAAGGCATCATGGAGAACCAAGGTTCTCCAATTCTGTCCACAGCAACTGCAAAAACTGCACTACTTTTGTAACTCTTAACTTTCAGCAACAGTGATTAATACTTTCAGTATCTAGCCACAGTTATTGTGACATTTACTTATTTAAGAGTTTTTAAATACACACATCAAAAAAATTGATTGGGTGACAGCACAGTTAGAATATTGAGGTAAATTCTTGTCAAGCTAGCACAAGCTCTGAATAATTTCAAGAAGCCAAGCCATCCTCTTATTTATCTACAAATGTGGTACTCCACCACTGTGTTGATGATATGCATGCCAAAAATTTCTTTAACTTCGGGCAAGATGTGAATTAACATTTTAAATACTATTTCCACATTATTATACTGGAAAAAGCAATCTTACCTTTAGTAGAATATGCTTCAGCAATCATCCGTAGCCTATATGGTGGCACTGCAGCTAGCTGCAAATCATCAACTCCTACTCTGGCATATGTGTTCAGAGCTTCCTTGTAATCACCTTCCACATAGTTTAACTTGGCCATAATTAGGTTAGCTTCTTGTAAGAATTCTGGCTAGAAGAAAGAGGAATAAGAAAGTTTTGTTTCCTGAGAAAACACACCTAATTCTTTCTAATAATTATTTGGTCTTCATAGATGCACTAAAGAAACCCTCAGGATATTTCTAGTAACAGAGCAACAAACCAAGAAAATTCTGTCTTCGTGTAATATTTGGGAAGCTTGCAGCAAGGGGTGAATCCACAAAATTTCACTCCATCAGTCAACTGAAAAACATCACCAGTCATTTTATATATTCACATATTTATTTATACATGCACCAGAAATACCTCTGTCAGGATCCAGCTTTGCCAGGTGACAAAACTGTTTAAAAGGCAGCCTATCATCACAACCCCTCCAATGATTTTTTTCTAACAGCACAAGCACAGTTGAAAATAACATAGCATCAAAACTTAATGACATATGTTCCACAGCCTATATATTTAATTCACACAATTCCAAAGTATGAGGGCAGAAGAAATGCCTTGAAAAAAGCATTCATGGAAAAATGAAGAAAGAAATTAATACCCCCACAAATCACAAAACATTACAGGTGACTGTAAAACAGGGTCCTTTTGATCTCTCAAAAGATGGACATTGAGTACAGAAAAGATAAGCTGATGTAGTAGTTACAACAATAGTTAAGCAAAAAAAGGGCCAGAATGGTTAAGAACATCAAAAGGTTATGACAGAAAACTGCTCTCAAATATTAACCTCACTTTCTGCCCCTGCAAACATAACTTAAGAGACTATTACAAAAATTTGTGAAGTATTTTGCCTTTTTCTAGCATTTCTACTTAATGCACTAGAAATAACAATATAGTTATATACTTCAAGAAAAACCTCCACAAACCAGGTTGTAAGTACTTTACTTAAGCATCCCAGAAGTCAATGACAGGCTTATTCAGATATTTATCTGAACAAAAGTCCACGAAGAAACAAAGAGCCATGAACTAGCATAGTGCTGATGATATTTTGGGAATAGCAATGATAATAAAACACCACACAAGCACTTTCCGCGTTTTTCTCAGTGATCAGCAGAGTACTCCAGTCAATTTCAGCTTTTCTGATTCTTGCTCAGACTGACTTACGTACCTTTAGGTTTCCCCTATCAAGTGCTGCGGTGAGATGTTTCCTGACCTCAGTCAGCTTTGGCCGGGGACCCAGTGGACTACTACTTTGTTTAAGAGTGTTTTCCTTCAAAAATTGTTCCAGTTTGGACTCCCCAAGAAGAAGTTCAGCCATGTCATCTGTAAATAAAAGCAAACACATGAAATACTAGAAATAATTTTATTTCACTAACATTTCAGTGGAGGCAGCCATTGCCTGAATTTTAAATACAAACTAAGCAAAACACAGTGTCAAGTATTCAGATTTAACACAAGCCACATGGTACTTTGTTACTTTTCAATTTACCTTTTACCTGCCTGATTCACTATAGAATCAAATCTGTGTTCTAAGCTATAATGAATGAGAACATTAACCTGAAGTCAGTATTCTCCCCTTCCCCCTTAAAAACCAACTTGATTTGAAAGCCTTTCTGAACATGACAAGGTACACTTCTCATAAAAATGGTGTGTGTTTCACAAAATAGCTATGGTAGTATCAAAGGTGAATACTGAGAGATATTGGGTTAATTTATGCAACTAGTTTTGAGTTACATGTCCCTCAAGATGTCTTTGATCACCATCCATATCTCAGCTGTAAGAATGCAGATATCACTTAGACTCAGTTAATGCTCCAGCCATCCCAAGTCTTCAGTGTGAAAGTCCACTTCTCATCATTCTTCCCATGTCTTAGAAGGCATATCGCTGCTTTTCAGACATGAAGGTAGAATGTAATACCACACTGCCCAGCAAAGCTGCAGCTACCACATTTGCCAAAATTCAAGAAAGTAGTCATGCTCTATTTTGCTCTTATCCAGGACCACTAAACTTACTTTATTGACCCACATTGAGCAGTTCCTCTAGTGAGCTGTAAATTCATTACCTCACTGTCCAGGACTTGAAAACACCAGATCATGTCTTGCAAACAACATCTGAATAACCCAAATTTGAACAATAAATAAAATAGATTTCAAAAATTAGCTTTTTGCTAACAACCAGAAAGTGCTCACCGCCTTATAACCTTTAGCACTGTCCTTAGAGGTTACGGGAAGGGACAGAAAGACCAGGACACACAGAACTCAGTGCTACTGTAGAGGAAAAGCTTTCCCTCAGGAAATACAAATGCATCAGCATTATCTTGCCTTTTTAAGTACAGCAAACTTCCATCTCACGTCAGTTGGACTAGTATATGACCCATGTACAATGCCATTACACCGTAAGCTATAAGGACCAGTGCTGTCCTGTAACATGTCCTATCAAGTAGAAAGACAAAAACCTAATTTTTTTTTTTCTTAAAGCCTCCAGCTAACTGCTGATTCTTAAACCACAGTATCTTCAAAGAAAGAGTTTAAGAGGCCAGGCAAGTAGCAAAGCATCAAGGGAGTGCTTATTTTTCCATTTATGCTTTTTATTTGGTGTTTTGGGAAAGATATCCATGGTAATCTGGATGTTTATTTGTTCTCAACTACCATTCACTCATGTTTCACTGTTTAAGCACTACAGCAGAAGGGAAAGATCTCAGCATCCACATAATGACAAGCCACACCACAGATGCAGCCTGGTTACCAGCCTGCTTAATTTTCTGGCTTTCAGACCATAGTTGTCAAATTCAACAATCTCAAATCTGCAGTAACAGTTCCATTCCTTCGCCCACCAAAGTCTCTCCTGATACTTCAGCTATACTCATTTAATCTCTGCTTCAGGCAACACCAATTAATCTGAAGCATCACTTTCTACATGCACTTTCTTCTTTGAAGAGCAACTTTATATCTCTTCACATCTGTTTTGTTTTGCCTAAATTGTGCACTTTCTACTCAATTTATCCTCCTGACAAAGCTGTATCCAGAGGGCATTGTTGATATATGCTAGCCAAAAATACTGGTTCCTTGAAAGATAAGGAAGGGTAAACAAAGTATTTCCCTGGTGCACCATTACTTTAGAGACATTTGAAAAAAACAATGGCACTCGGCATCTTTCAAATACATGTTAAAGGCATACAATTCCCAGTTAAAAAAAAAAAACTACCATCAGTAATACAGCTACAGTATAACAATAAAATCTTATTACCCACTAATTGCCAACAACAAAAAAATTTTATTCACCTAGTCAATGCCCACATGGCAAATGGCACAGATTGACATGCATCAGTAAGTCCATCACACAATTTGCACATTCCTTAACAAAGAAGTTGATCTGTTTATAATGTTTGACTGACATGTTTTCATCTCAAGCACCTGATGTACAGTTTAACAAAAGAAATAGAGAGGTTTACAAATGTAAAGGCTCAAAGTCTGTACACTATAGTATTTTCGATACAGCTTAGGGTAAGCTGCATTAAAGGTTAGCTAATCTCCTTGCACACTGGAAATCTAATGTTTCTGAACAGAACTAGAATGAGAAGGTTTTACAGTAAATAAGTATTTTGGCAATGTACAAGAAACCCATTGTTAGCTGCAGCAAGAAAGGAGTGCGTTAAGGAGGACTTTAGCACTTGATCTATCAGGACTGGGCACATTTATAGCTTAATATGGCTTGCAGAGTCTTTCCTGTGTTTAGAAAACAAGGAGGAAAAAAAAAAAAAAACACCTTTACTACAGTGTGAGTTTTACTCATACATTGTATCAGAGCACGGTAGAAAACAGCAAAAGGGGTAGCAGATGCTCTTAGCACAAGCACCTGGGGGGACCAACACCAGGCTTTGAAATCCGTTGTCCACAGCCTGCATTGCTCTACCACCTTGTAGCAGCAGCAGCCACCAGCTCTGACAGTCATGGTCCACTCCTCTAGGAAAGGGCCCAAGCCAGAGATCCCAGACCACCTCCCACCCGTAGCCAAAGGCTTGGAGCCTGCCTGAAGACTGGGCTGAGGTTGGCCAAAGGCAAAAAACTATACCTTGCTCTCTGGAGAAGAGCAAGAGACCCAGTGAGAAACATCCCCTTTTACTGCGCCCAGCTCATCATCCTGGCCCACACCATTCTTCTGTAATTTGCACAATTGCCATTTTTAATTTCATAGACTCTCAAAACTCCCATCCTTTGAAGTTCCTTCTAATACATTATACCTGAAATTTCAAATCCTCTGTGGAAATAGAAGTAGAGAAGGACCCAGTTTGTTCCCATACATTTACAATGTTATCAGTATAACTCCAGGAATTTTTGAAGCAATTTACACTAATTTTGCTATTCTTTCATTTAAGTCTGTTCAGCAAAAATGAAAAATAAAAGATATTTCAAGGTACTAAGTGAAGAAAAAGAAATAAGAAGAATATTTCAGCATTAGGGTAGGCAACACAGGATCATACCCAGCTGAGTTTTGAGCATTTCCACAGATTACAAAACCCCTCCAGACAACCTTTTACATTTGACTGTTCTCATTGTGGAATTTTTTTCCTTGCTATCCATTCAACATTTCCCTTGTTGCAATTTTTGTCCATTGCTTCTGATATTTTCACTGTGCATTTCTGAGAAGAGGCCACCTCCATACTCAAGGTGGGGGTGGGAGATGGCAGCAGTAGGATTCCCTCTTAGCCATGCCTTTCTAAGATTTAAGAAATGCAGCACTTCAACTGACTCTCTTAGCTCACCTGGCCCCTTATGCTCTTGGTGGTCCTCCACAGGACTAACCCTAATATACCAATGTCTTTCTTGTCCTGGGGGAGCCCAAACCTAGATACAATATTCCAGATGTGAGCTCACAAGTGACAAGCAGTAGGGAATAATAATTTCTCTCAAACTGCTGACTACATTCTTGCTAATACAGTGCAGTGTGCAGTCAGTCTTCATTGCCGCAAGGGTTTGCTGCCAACTCACACTCCCTTTGTTGTTCACCAGGACCTTCCGATCCTTTTCTGCAATGCTGCTTTTTAGCCAGTTGATCCCCAGGCTATACTCTTACAGTTATTCCTTCTCAAGTACAGTACTGTGGCATTTGTTCTTGCTGAACTTCATGAGTTTTGCTGTTAGTTCATTTCTTCAGCCTGTTGAGATCCCTCTAAACAGCAGTCATATACTATCCTCCAGTTTTCTATCACCTGCAAAATCACTGAGGTCAATGTCTACATCACCAAGAAAAATACTAAACAGTACTGACTGCAGTACCATCCCACGAGAGGCCCCACTTTTAATACATCACAGATTGGACTGGTTTTTTTTAACTTGTGATCAAACCTCTGAGCCCAGCCAGCTTTCCACCAACCACCTGTCTTTTCAATTGAGCTACAACACATACTATGGGGAACTGTGTCCAAAGTCTAGACAAAGTTGAAGCCAACAATATCCACTGTCCCCACTTTATCCATACAGTCACTTCCCATCATCAAAAGCTATCTGGTTGGTTAGTCCTTGATAAACCCATGACAATTGATCCCAATCACCTCCTTATCCTTCCAAGGAGTTCCCAGGACATGCTTCCTGATCTTCCCAAGGCTTAAGGTTAGGCTGAGTAACCTGCAGTCCCTGGATCCTTCTTCTTGATCTTCTTGCAAATGGCCGTATTTGCCTTTTTCCAGTCACCAAGAATCACCCTCAACCACCAGGACCTTTAAAAAAAATCAGTGTCCTTGCAAAGACATTGGCCAGCTCTTTCAGCACTCTGACACAACCCACGTGGGTGTCAGAGACTTGCATATGCCCCCTTTGCCCAACACAGTCACCCTCTGTCAGGGCATAATGCTTCACTTCACGAGACTTTTGTATCATACAGAATAATTTTCCATCAATATCAACAGATTTTCTGCAAACACCGATACATACACTAAAAAGCACAAATGGTACAGACAATTGTTACTTGCTGCAATAAAGCAATTTTTTCCAAGAGAAGCAATATGCTAAAATGAGATTTTTTTTAGTTTTAAAGATACTCAGCATCTATTTTGTTACAGTCTATTTTCTGCATGTTCTCTCTTTTCCTTCAAACAGAGAACTTAGCATAATTGATAAAAATCAACAGCTTGCATAGCTTCAGTTTCAAGGCGCAAACTAAACAAGATATTAAACCAACCAAATCTAAACCAGGTATTTTGCCTTATTCCAAATTCCATGTTTCATTAGCATAGCCACAGTATTATTATAAACAAATAGTAAAGTCAGGTATTATGACCAACATTACCCTGCTCAAAGATAGCTTTAGTATAGCACTCTG